AAAATAGAAGAGATTTGACATCGAACGAATGAGATGAACGAAGTGCGGCGATCAAGCTGATCGATCGTCTTACAACGGCATATTAGCGTGTTTCTTCCAAGGATTCGACATTTTCTTCGACTCGAGTAAGTTCAAGTCAAGGCAGATGCGCTTACGAGTCGTGTGTGGCTCAATGATATCATCGACGAAACCTGCAAATTACATCATGTATAGAAGTATAGAGCAAATGAACTTCTTAGGTGGATACGAAACGATGCGAAATGTATTCAATTAGATAACGCAAACTCGTGATCTCATCAAAACACTGACATCAGTAATGAACCCGTCAGACGCATACAAAACGCTTTATGTGAATTTGATTCGGTTAAACGACGAGAGACTTGCTAATCAAACAATTTCTTTCAGATAAACGACGAGAGACAACAAAATTTCTTGGATGTAAAATATCTGTTTCTGAGCTTGCATAGTTATTTATGTTCAGAGCGATCTGCCAACTAGCAGTACAGTTTTTTGACGATAATTTCCTACTCATTATGTTTAACGAAACAATTGTTCACATTTTGAGCGCCCGTTCGAAATTTATTGAGTCACCTGTTATTTACAAAAAATCATATCTTTCTTCACGTAGAAGCAAATTTTCGCTCCTGAGACAAAATATCACTTGCAAGAGAAAATATCATTGAAATCATTGAAATTAATTGCAATGGTAATTCCTCACTGAAAATGAGTGAGTTTTCAAACTAATATTGAGAGGATCAACCTCAAGCCGGATGCATTTTAAATTTTGAAACGTTTCTATTTCATATACTACTGTTCACTTCTTCTCCGAATGCATTTAACGAGTGTTCATCTAGTTCAATTTTGTTTAACAAAAATGGCAAAAGCTTTTTTTTTCGCATAGTTCCCAACAAAACACAATGAGAAGACAAAAAATCAGTCTATAACTAATAGAATATACCTCTAACAGCTGCTGGGAACGGATTACCGAACAAGTCAATGTACTCTTCTTCGTGTTTTGCTACGTTCTCCTGGTCGTGACGGAACAAGATCTTCACTGCACCCTGCAACAGCATTGCTTTCAGAACTTGCATTTCGAATTGCAGGAATCTTTTGCGTTCACCTATTGTGAGAAGTGTCACACAATTTCGCTGCTTTTTAAAACAATTATCGACTCGAATTGAAGCAAAGGTCGCTTTACCTTAGCACCCATGACAGCCACTTCGGCTGTTGGCCATGCATAATTGATATCACCACGAAGATGTTTGGATGACATCACACAGTATGCACCACCATATGCCTGTAATTAGCAATTCAGTTATTCAATGCACAAGTTTCGGTATTGACTGAGATCTTATGAGAACATGAAGAAAGGAGCGATAATGATTGAATCATATTTGTAAACAAACAGATCTAGAATGTAGCAATACCTTTCTTGTGATAACGGTGATCTTTGGCACTGTAGCCTCTGCATATGCATAGATAAGCTTAGCACCGTGACGGATGATACCTCCGTATTCCTGAGAGGTTCCTGAAAGTATAATTTCCAACTGAATAGCGCCCAATTTCCATAATGAAGCGTTTTCTTTTTATCAGCATTTCTGGTGAATGCAAAGACAGCTGCACATTCATCGAGTACTTCAGATGTGGAGTAGCACTGAAAAATATCAAAAAGAAACAGACCAGGCAAGAAGCCGGGCACATCTTCAAGAGTGATTATTGGTATGTTGAATGCATCACAGAAGCGTACGAAACGGGCGCCTTTCACCGATGCGTTGATATCCAAACA